GTGAAAATGGCTGCCGGCAAGGGGAATCCTCGCTGAACGGGTAAGTAAGCAAGGTATTGGAACGCATTAAACTAAGTTTAATGCGTTTCAATACGTTTCCCCTACCCGTTTAGCGACGATTCCGCATAGCCTCGCTATGCGGGGCACCACTGTATAAAGAACAGACCCAACAGGATGCTAGATGTGGCACTGAACTTGCTAGGAGATTTTAAATACAGACATTAGGGGACAGGATAGTGACTAGAAAGTAATCCCACCCTGACATGAAACACATGAATAGCCTTGGATGAAAGGACAGTCTGTTTCCATGTCCTTGTGGAAACAGTGGGATAAGAATTTGATAAATAGAGGCCCAGGCTAATTATTGTCAGACATTTGAATTTATCCTCTTTCTGCCAAAATGATCAGGAGGAAAACAGTTGTATATATATTTTTTTCCTTTCATGCTGAAAAATGGCTATGAAAACCACAAAGACAGAGTGGCATGCAAAAAAGAACAGGTTTCTTCCTTGTCTGCCACCTTCTCTTCTATCATCTGTGGATGGGGAGGATCATTCAGAAGTGAATCAAAAATAAAAGAATGAAAAATAATATAACTAAAATAGAAACAAAAGGAATGAGCCTTCGTCTTGTATTCCATAAAGTGCAGTATGCAGTGAGGTGGACTGGTAGAAGGTGGGATGGGGGGTGATACTGAGAAATCCTCTTCCTGGCAAAAGATCAATATTCACTTTGTTTGGAGGGAAGCTGTATGCCTGTTTTCTCCCCATCTGTTGTAGTTAGGATAAATTATCTTACAATTCTGAAATCTTGACTTAAAGGGCTGTTGGTTATTCTACTTTGTTTCTTCCTTGCTATCACTGAACCCGTTTCTTTTCACATAAGCTTCCAATTTCTTAAGTCTTCAGAGAAATCTAAATTCTGAAATGGTATCATCTGTTACCATGGAAACAAGTGCCATAGAAGCATATAAAAAAGCATAGAATGTATCCATGTGCAAGAAACAGAACAAATCATTTGTGAATGTCAATTTTCATTGACTAACCACAGCTATAGCTGAAATCAATAGAATCTCACTTGAGGCTGCCGCTGCATCTGCAAAAACCCAAGAAACAGAAAATAAGCATGAAAACACCTACAAAGCACCTGTCACATCAATGGAGCAAGGAGTATGCGTGCTGGTGCTCTCTGCACATACACACACCAACACCTTTGTATTTGTTACTTTCTACAGCAGTCTCTAGTCCGTTGGCCATTGGTTGGTGTACATTCTGTTTAGGTTATACTCCTGGAACTAAGCAGAAATTTCCATTGTGTTGACAGGAGCTCAGATCTTTGGTAACATTCAAGTGGTTCCCTCAATTGCACTGGCTTCTAATTGTTTCCAGATCCAATTTCAAATGCTGATTCTTATCTTCAAAGCTCTGTGTATCCTGGGAGCAGGTTAACTGAAAGACCATGCCTTCATACATAAACGTCTAATTGTGGTTAGCAGGAAATGTGGAAGAGCAGAACACATCACTGGACCTTTCTGATGGAAGCATGGAAGAACCCATATCACAGGGATGTGCAGCTGTCTATCCATTTGAAAGAGCATGTAAAAAAGAAATATCCTGAATGGAGTTATATGCTATACTTTCCTTATTTTGGTATTGCTTTGCATTAATCTATTAATATCTGTTCTTAAGAGCCCTACATGGGTGGAAGATAGAGAAAAGTATGGATGTTGATAAAACAATACTAAAGCACTACTAAAATGTTGACAATTTGTTTAGATCAATTACATTAAGCAATTTAAAATCTTATGATTAAATTAAAAAGGTGGTTTTGATGAATCAAACCAATACAAGTACTTACAAATAAAGTACTGCAGAAGAATTTGCCTTCTTTCATAAAGACAAGGAAATTCCTCCTTTTCCAAGACGGAAGGCATGGTCATTATCAACAAAGTGCTGCTCTTTCTTCTGATCTTGCTCTTATATTAGATATCTTTATGTGTGTTAGATGGTATAATTAACCATCTAAGAGCCTTACAAAAAAGTTTCCATGAATATAATCTACTTGACCACAAATCAGAACCTGATTTCTCATGACAAATTAGTCAGAGATGGACAAGCCACATCACTTACAGGTAGGCCACGGTTCAGTACCTCCCTAGTTCACTAGTCAACTACACACCTCCTCCATCTGGCAGAGTTAACTTTTTATGCAGGCAGCATTTATTTTCAAATGAACTAAGACTCAGTCTTCATATAAACTGATACTCTTATTTTTTTATGGAAAACTAAAACTGGAGAAACATAGATGTGAAACCAAACACTTTAATCCTTGGTGGCACTACCTTGGCACAATTCCCTCGGAATCTGTACTTGTCTCCCCAGTACATTCCTGCAGTAAGCATTTCATAAAATGCAGATTACACCTTTATGAGCTGAATGTATAACTAACTACTCATTCCTTGGGTTAAACAAAACTAGAAATAAAATGGACTTAGGATGGCTTCAGTCCAAACCTATTGTAACTCAAGATCATTGCTTCCAAGTGACTTAAAGCACGAATCCAAAAATTCATCTGTTACTTCTTCTAGAGTAGCTGGCTTCCACTTTGGAGACTGGTCTTTGTCAATAAGCACTACCAGGGGGAAAAAGAGAAAGGAATTGGTTAGGAGGCCTGCCTTAATGTTCATAATTAAAGTAACAGATCTTATGGATGCATATTAACCATATACTATTACGGCACAGCAGCACATTACACATACTCCATGTATTCTTTACTGAAAGTGGAGCAAATGATTACATTTCCTGAATGAAGGTTCTGCATCCCACACATTCTCCAGGTGAGATAATACATGGCTGACATTGACAGAAGATAAAAGCTGTAGTCTAGCTAAATCTAGATGTCACGTATTGCTCATCTCTCCTTCATTGTTCACTGGCTAGCTAGATCACAAGAATTGCAAATCACAAAAGTTAGATTCACCTTTTTGGTTTTTGCTGCTGTGAAAGAGATAGGAATTTAAGCAGCTGCTTTATGCCAAGTCCCTCTGGTCCCTGATCATCATCTTTGACTGGCAAAGGCTCTCTAGGGTCTCAGGATTCTCTCTTGCCCTAGCTGGAGTTGCCTAGTACTCCCTGGTGATCCTCCATCCAAGGCATAACCCCACTTAGCTTCTGAACTCAGATGGGATCAGTGCTTTTGGAGGAGTATGGTGGCATTAACTGAGCACATCCTCTGCTCTGCGTCAGGTGATGCATAAATACAGTAGCATATGGCCAGCCTAACAGATATTCTAGTTGCACTGCTATAGTGAGAAGGCCAAGTAGTGGGAGGGGGGAGGATAGTAGGTGTGTAGATAGCTATGTGACGTTTATCTTGAACAGGATAATGAGCACAGTCAGGTTAGAATATTCAAATGCCATTCATACCTGACACTTTCAAGTTTTGCAGTAATCACCCTTTAGATTTTAAAACAATAAAGCTATTTAAAATAGGAAATGGGTTATCCGCAGCTGCTCTGAACGTTTTATTTCTCAGTCAGCACTTTGTATGGCTATGCATAATAATCTGTTTATGCCCTCTGTCTGACTCCTGCTTGGCCATAAAAACATTGCACATTACCAATGAAAACTACTGGAATTTTATTTATTTGGCTCTGAACAAAGACTTCTGCTTTCCTAAAGAATTCTCCTACCAGTGTTCATTTGGGAGGGGGGGAATAAAACAAAGAAAGAGTTAATTTAATAATAAACAGGCATTTCTCTGTCATAAGGGGTGAATGAAGCAGAAAGTTAAATGCAAATATTAAGAAATTGTATCAGAAATACCTTCATTATGAATCCTTTAGCAGCCAATAGAACTGTAGTAAATGTTGAACTGCAAATACTCTTCCTCACAGTTTCCATGGCTCACCCTCCCCAGTACTGTCCTAAAATAAAGGCATCTGTGCAAATTCCTATCAACTAATTTGTGGCAAAATATTTCATCTCTGCAAAGAGCAGATCTTTTGCAAAGCAAATTAACTCTTAATGGCTCATGCAGGACTAAGCTAACCTGAAACACTTTTCATTACAACTTGAATAGCTCACAAAAATACAGTGGTGCCTCGCTTAACGATTGCCTCATTTAGCGATGAATTCGCATAACAATGTGTTTTTTAAGAAAATAATATGCACCGTATAACGATGTTTCCTATGGGCGATTTTCGCTTAGCGAAGTTTGGGACCATGCTTCGCATAACGAATGTGATTTTAGGTCCCCTGCTTCACTTAACGATGTTTCTTTTTTCAATTAAAAAAGTGTCTTAGAAGGGTCAAAAACGGTTCTAAATGCTTGGATTCGTTAGAGGACCCCCTAAGTCGTGTGCAAACCTGATTTGGCTTTGATCTGACTTTACGTTAATTTATGGTTAATTTTTTTTTCAGCCCATAGGAACCAATGGACCTGTCAAAATCTGACAGCTCCATGCTTTCCTATGGGGGAGAAAACAATTCGCCATAAATTAATGAAAGTTCAGATCAAAGCCAAATCAGGTT